AAAAAAAAAAAAAAAAAAAAGTAACCGGGTCACTGCCCAGAAAGAACTACTGTATTGTCACCATGCCTACGTCACACAACAAAGCTGTGGGTCCAATACAAACCTCGCAACAATAAAAACCCCAAACTCCAAACCCAGATCCTAAGACTGAGGCCTGAACGTCTGTCAACAAACTTTACCAAGGATGGTAAGACAATATCACCCCCTCCTACGTGGCGCCCTCTAAAACCCGTACATAGTCCATCTATGACCGGCCCTCCAGCACTTGCATACTCCTTGAAGCCTCATACACCAAAGCCACTCTGACAGCCACAAACAGCACCCAGGAAGCCTTGCGGATCCCTAAACATGAAACAGAAGAAAGCCTCAGGAAATGCTGACTTGTTGTTATACAAGACTCTACAAGACATTTGAGAAAAAGCATTGCAGCTTGGTCTCCCTGAAGTATTCTAAGACCATCATGAAGTCGTTGTGGCCTCTTTTTGTCAGATCCGACGCAAGCTGGTCCAGTTGTGGGCCCAGCGGAACATCGTAGGGGAAGTACAGCAGCCTCCTAGCAGACGCACAGGTAGGGGGTTCAGGGCTTAGAGATTCGAGCGTGGGGCTAACGTTTTAGTAGTTACGGCGCGAGTGCAAGGTGAGGACGCGGGTGAGGAACCAGGGCTAAGGTACAAGCTAGGCTACAAGAAGTCGTCTTTGGGGTATATGAGCCTAGATACTGGCCTGCGTATTCTCCGCTCAGGTTACTGTCAAGGCAAGGCTAGAGTAAAGCGCGCAGCGTTTAGAAAGACCAAGAACTTTATGGTTCAGTGATTGGTTTTGCGAAAGTCGAGTGACCATGCCCAAACTGCCCAAATAAGATGAAAACCGACCATTTGATGTGCATATTTTAAACATAGTGGCCACATGGCCCTGACGTTCTTGGGTTTAAAAGCTGTCGTGTAGTAAATACTTGCGGGGTGAGGCTTCAGCCTTGTTCCTCTTGGGCATTGAGCTCTGCTCAGAGTTGCTCAAATTAGCCCTGACATCGCCCCGAAGTGGGACCTTGTGGTCTAGTATCACTCCGCGAATATCCCCATTATATGCAAAGGCCGACATTCCCGGGGATCAGCACTAAATCGCACAGTGAGGTTGACCAAGTCCTTGTCACGAGCTATAAGTACAGACTTATGGCGCTGCTGCCAGTAAACCTTTCCTTTCTGAAGCATGCAAGTGGTTGTTCTGCCTGTAGCTTTCAGCTGTCGTGCCAGCACATGTACAAACTTCTACCCAGCCATAACCATGGAAGTCTTGGGACAGCCTTGTCTCACAGGATCAGTTTGGGGCCTCAGCGATAGTGAGCATGCTTTGGACCTATGGAAGAGTTTCGGCGGGTTGTCTGAGTCTATAGATACCGAAACAATAGCGAAGGGCATGCCATCATGGAATATTCCCAGCATTCTAGACTAAGTATGGAAGGATGAATAGCTGGGAGTGTCCTCTCACACTCAGGTCTCGCAGCAGCATAAGCTGACATCCTGATGCTCACGGCTGACAGGTCATGGTTCCCGAACCCAAACCCTCACACTCACAACTGCTGACCTGACAGCTCGACCCACACAACTAGGGCTGAAGTGTTTGCTTCTTCTTGGTGTCTACCATGGGCAAGAAGGGCTGTGTTTCCTTGAACTTTATTGATCTCTGCAGCAGGCCTAAAGAGGTCAACTTGAGCCCCTCAAAGCTTTTGGCTAGCATTTTCAGTTTTATGCTGAATGGCTAAAACCACATTTCTACGCCCTAGTCCATTAAACTGCCCAAAACCCAACCATCACAAAGATCCTTCCGCCCTAAAGAGCCGGGCCTTGAGCCTTCGGATGCTGCAAGCCACTGGAGGATGGCTTTCAGCTCCACACAACCTGTCTTCCAAGGGTTTTGTGCTAGGGGTTCAGTTCTTAAGCTCTCGGTCTAGAACTGTTGCATTTAAAGATTGACTGAGGCTCAGAGCCAATCTGGAGTTTGGAGCTTGTAGTTTAGGATTCACATGGATGACTGAGGGTTGAGAATCTGGGCTATTTTCAGGACTCTTGAAAGGATATTCTGAGGATCAGGCAGGAATTTCCAACATGGGCCATGGCTTTGCATCAATCTGCTTTGTGGCTTACAAGGCTCTGGAGAAGGCAATGGCAACCAGAAACAATGAGAAATGTATCAGAGCTTTTTCCGAATTTCTAAGGAGCATGCAGCGTATGACGCAAGATCTTTACGGGCTTCCGAGTTGAGGCTTCTCGTGTCTCAGGCTTTCGGTAGGGCACCTTTGTAGACATAATCCCAGCGTACGGGGAGGGTGAGCCTATGAGCGTTCCTAAGCCTCCATAAGCAACCCGCTCTTTAGCAGCCCTAAGGCCTCCAAATGCCCCACAGCCCCAGTTGCCCGTGGCGATGACGGGCCAGCGGTCCAGGGCTGCCTCACTTCGGCGCTTCAAGGGCTTTGCAAAGGCTTTGAACCTTTTGAATGTCTGCATTCGTTCCGCCTGCCGGTTAGGGTTGACAGTCCACTTAAATGAGTGAAATCAGGCTGCCACTCAGTACATCTGCTGCCCAAGATGTTCCGGTAGCAATAAACATGTACATCACCAAGAGGAACTACAAGTGGAAGGGCGGGTTTGCTGGCAGCAAAACGTCACTCTACCCGATGCAAGCCCGTGTAGCAATGAACCCTAGTGCATCCATATACGGATACGTAGCTTGAGGCGGTTCGTACAGACTGAACAAAACGGAATACAGGGACCGTTTTTGAGAATTATGCAGCAGCTACTGTAGGGATCCATTCCTTTATTCCCTACCAACCAGTAAGTATCAAAAATTCTGTTTTGCAGTGAGGCATCAGAACGCAACTGAATGTGTGAAGTACAAATAATTATGGGACGATTTATAAAGGGAAGCATATCAGAAAATACATTAGCGCATACGGATTTATAGGCAGACATATAGGGATTTTGGGTTGCTTTCAGCCGTGAAGCTTTGTCTGGTTCTGCAGCGGCCAAGGCCAACCACCCAACATTAAAAAAACTCCCCTCCGCAGCACTAGAAAGCCCCTAAGTTGGGCGGAACATCCCTCTCCAACAGCACAACTCAGCCCGCCTTATCTGTTGGGGCAAAGGCCACAGCCGCCTTCCTGTCTTCGGGTTAAAGTTTAAGACTTAGGGTGTAGGGCTTCAAGCTTCGGAGTGTAGGCTGGGAAACATCTAGGCTGAAGGCTTTTGGGTTTCGCGGCTGGTTTTCCCAAGTGTAGGATTGGTGTTGGCACTCTGTTCTGAACCAGGCCGTCGGGTCTACCTTTACTGCACTCCCGTAACGCATTTACAGCATGCACGTCAGTACTGGGGCGCACAGCTTCACAGCCAGCAGTTCCAGGGCTTACCCAGACGCCTCTATGCAGCCCAGTGAGAAAGCCCTGGGTAAGAAGCAGCCGAGGGTTCCTGGTTGAGGCGCGGGTTTCGCATCTTCATCGAACCCCTACAGAAAACTTAAAACAACAAGATAGCGAAACTATGCAGCGCATGCTGCTAAGGTTGCCCTCGAACATCAATTTCTGGGGACCTCCACCATAAATCCACAGGTTCTCCTCACAAGCGACCACCACTGCCGGAAAGCTCGTTCGTGTACACATGCATGTAGATTCTCATTACAAATGCTCCATGCCCAACAATACTCAGAAAGTAAAGAGAGTGAGATAATGGAAGTGAGCATAAGGATACTAACATTGCCAGTAGCTCTCGCAACAGTACGCAGGAATGTCCAAAAAATGAAAGAAGAATGCCAGGGCCAGGGCACTCCAACTCGCGCAGGAGAAGGTTGTCCTCAAGCTGCTGCCGCAATGGAGCTGCCTGAATCACACATCGGGCTGTAGGTCAGCTGTACAGGTAAGGTTCAGGGCTTAGAGTTCAGGGCTCTTCAAGGTAGGGGTTTAGAAGGGAGACACACATGGGATCACATGTTTTAAGGAGGTCTGCGGAATTCCAATATCGAATCCCTATGGCCATTCTTTAACATGAGATTGACATTGGCTTGTACAGGTGTGTCTTACAAATACTTGGGACTCATAGGGAGTAAAGGAGCTTGGTACAGTATGGGGCTGCTAGGAAGTCTGGGGAATATGCTTCGAAAGTCTTGCGAACTTGGCAACATTTGAGCTTCGGACCTGGAGTCTACCAGTATGGCAGCAGGTCGAATTTATTGCGCAGATATTGCACATGAAAACAGGCGAAAACAACAGCACACCCTTCTGCCAGACAACCGCAGGCACTGTTCTCAAACCTGCCAGAAAGCCTGATCTGACTTTAAACTATCCGCTCAACTACCCTTCGGTCTGCTCTGGAAAGAACATCTCAAATGATGTTCCCAAGCCTATCGCTGACCCCTACTGGGAGGCCCATTGGACTTAGCAACTACTTATAACTGGGATTATAACCCTACTTAGAATCGGGGTAACCCCTATAAGCCCATTTAGGGGCATTATAAGTAGGGTGATAAGCCAGTTATAAGTAGTTACAGAGGTCCCATGGGCCTCCAAGTATATTTGAAACCCTAAACCCCTTAGCTTCATCCCTGAAGACTGAGAACCCAAAATCTACAACCCCACAAGCCCGTCTGCCTTGCCCCTGAAGTCGATAGCATCCATGGCGGTTATGGCCACAAGCACTGTGCCATCCTGCAAAGTGTAGGGTTTATCTACTTACCGTTTAGGGGTTTAACGTTGGACTTCAGGCTCAAGCAGGGCTGAGGGCTAGCAGATAGCTGCCGTTGTAGATTTTAGGTACTCCATCGTGCTTGGCAGGAATAGATGCGCAGATCTTATGTATGTTCCTCGGCCAGGCTGCATAGGAAAGTTTCAGGCCTGCAAGAAGCATTCCAAGGCACTCGTAGCAGTCGCACCCCATACAATGAAATGCCATGGTGAAGATTCTTGGGGACCTGCTGCCGTAGTTAAAAAGCCTGTGGTTAAATAAAGCTTCATGTTGCTTAGCAGGGAAGGTGGATGCATTTAGTTGATCTGTTCCGTTGTTCCGAATCGTGTTCAGCTACCATGAATAGAGGGGTTGGCAATAAAACTGCAGACAAAAGGCGAAAAACTACTGTCGCCTTCTAACAGATTCGGAGTCCCAAAATCTATAAGCAAGGTCGATCGGCAATATTAATAGGGTGGCAATCAAAAATCTCCGCGCCCATTACTAAAGATGTTATACTGCTTGTACTACTATAACTACTGCCTGTACTACTTAGTCCTATACCCCTGCCCTCCACCCCCCCCAAAGCCAAAATCGCAAAACAAGATAACGTGAGCTAGGAGTTTTGGGAAAGCACGATGTGGTGTGATTCGCTCAGGGCTTGCACGGGCTGTCAGAAGCTCCAACCCAAGAACATCCGAGCAAAGGGATTCATGAGAGCCCAGTGGTGCTCTCCTGAAAGACTGGGGCATCAACAAATTAGCCGAGGCAGTTCCAGGAAGAGAGCAAGGCAGAAAGGGAAGACAAGCCGAAGCAAACACGGAAAGAATCAAAATACGTGAATATGAAAGAAAAAACGCGTGAAAGTTCAGAATACCACAATCAGACAAAACGATTACGTCCATGAAGATACCCATCGCAACACATCAGATTCACAGCTGCAGCCACAACCCCAACAAAAGGCGCGCCAACCCGCACAACCCAAGACACCAAACTCCCTGCACCATCAGATCTGATCCTCGTCCCGTGGCGTGGGATCGCGGAAGTCGCCGGCGTACTCCAGGGATCGGCCGTAGCCGCTGTAGCCGGAGAATTGCTCCTGAGCGCTCCCTAGTCACCGGTTGCCTGCACATGCAGGACCTTTTAATACTGGCAAGGATCTTCATGACAGGAGCATGGATGATCATATCCTTTGAGAAGTCTGCCCTCTCCAACGGCTTCAGCGCTTAAGATGACATTATTGTTCATGGTGAACCCCATGTGCTCAACCTGTACACAGCTGCTGGCCAATGATGACGCTGATAGGCAACACAAAATCACAATGGGAAACCGTGTCCTTGCTCCCTGTGGGTGACACTACTTTCCAAAACAAACCTGTCTCGGTTGTGTAAGACGAAACCAGAATCCGTGCTTCTTATCATGTGGAAGTTCTAGAGGGACCACAACGAAAAATGGATGTTCATCTTCCTACCGCGGCTCTGGTTGCCCACATTTAAGCTATAATTCATTAAAGAACTTGTGAAACTTATCCAAGCTGCACTCCCCCAATACCAGGATCCTCCTGCTAAGACCTCAACAAGGGGCCTGCCTTTTTCAGAAACACCAGGGGCTAAGGATCTTGAAGCTGCCTTCGGAGCTGCATTCATTTGCGCCTTGTACACGGTTGTCTCAAAGCGATCAAGCAAGGAGTAAGCTACTCTACTGGTGCCTGGGGGACAACACCTTTCAGAAGCATGGCGTTTTACAGATTTTCCCCTACAGGAGGAGCCCTGTCAGGCTGAAACCAGGCTGTAGACCGAAAGGACCCAATAGAGTGCCGCCTGTGATTTGTAAGATCCAACCCTGAAAGCTGCTCTAGTCATTGGTCCAAAATGGCAAGGATAAAGGTGCACACTGGCGCTCGGGCATTCTCCGGAAGGCTCTGCAAGGACATAGAACTGAAAGACTTAGGAGCTACTGCTGCTTGAGCAAATGGATCTGATCTTCTGGAGAGAAGGCATTCTGTAAGGCTTTGGAGCTCTGTCAGGACAGCTCCAGGTTTCGGGATCTGATACATGCTGCTCAGGGAGGAGTCAGGGCGCAGGGCCCAGAAGCTTGGATTGGCCAAGATACGCCGCCGACAATTGTGATGGCCTGGTCGGGCTGAAGGTTGCTGCATGTTTGTAAGAGGCTTACATAGCGCTTACGCAGAAAGGCTTACAAAACATTGCCGCAGGCTTCATTGACGGCAAAGAATGCTCGGCCTTCTTTGCGGGGAACTTTTCTATTCTATCTAGTGTCTGTCAATCGGGTAGAGTCAAGTTCCTGTGACCATCATTCAAGAAGATCCAAATATCGTTCTTCTCTAGTTCCCTGTATACTCCCTCTGGTTCCTGTAATGGCCTTGCACAATGGATTTTCCTTTCAACCTCGACTACTCCTACCTGACAACAACTGGAAAGCAAAGCTGGAGACAGGCCTCATGGTCCAGCATGTACGGGCAGACCAGCATGGCGGCACAAAGCTCTGGGCAAATGGAGAATCTGATCTCCTGCGCTCATGTGTGGGATCCTCAAAGACTTAATCGAGGAGGTTCAAGAGAGCGCATATAATTGGCAGCAGCAAAGATCAGACAAGGATTTTCTCGGGTTCGCCTTCTGAAGGGGGCAGCTTCTTTCTACACTGGAGGACTCTCATGATATGAGGAACTTTTAGAATGCTTTGGCTGAATCTCTAGCAATTTTGGGCCTTCACATTCAGCTGGTATGAGGTGGAGTGCGTATTCGGCGTTTGCGCAACAGCTGCAGCGACGGAGAAAGAATGAACTACCAACCACAAAGGTATACAAGGTCTAGCTGATCGTAACACAGGTGACAGATATAGCTTGAGAGGCTCTCATGCCGAATGATGGGCCAATGCTTGAAGATGCGTAGCTTAGCATGGGTGACTCCTTGTAATCTACAGCATCGCGTCCTAAAGCCTTCAACGCTCTCAACCTTCAACCTACAAGGAGACCAGGGCCCTTGATGTGCTTAGCAGTAGACACCCAAGACCTTACGCCAAGCCATTGAGCAAGCTCCTTGCACGCGCAATTCGGAGCACTTGCTCTGAAACGGGTGTATGCTGAGATCTATGCCGACTATTCCTGGCTCTACCGCTGCGCCATGCTTAACTGCAACCTCACAAGAAAGACAGCCATTGCTGAGCCTCTCATCCAGTTGACACTGTTCGCTACGGAAGAGCCACAAAAACTTTGTCATCTTGCTTTTGCTGTAGTACGGTTCTGCAGATGCCATAGCCTGCTGTTTTTGAAGAATGCTGAATATTCAGTGCTGCAGACTTCCTATGTTCACAATGTTGCATAGCATTCGAAACCATGATTACCAGAAACGTGCGTAAACAGCAACACTTAATCATAGTTGCGTTCTTGCCTCCATACCTTATGTACTTCATGAATTTCACAATTTCTCTTACTACTACCATGATATACCATGATGCTCATGACTATCATTACAGGCTCGAATTTAATCGTGTCACTTTTTCCCTTTGTGACTGCTCATAAGACATGCAGACTGGAGGGGCCTCCTGCACACAGCCGCCCACCAAGACGCCACCACCCAGGTACCTTGGCACAGCTTGAGGGCATGGGAGCTGCATGGCCCTGAGTTTGAAGTCTAGTGGTTGGGCCTTGCAATTTCAACTTTAATTGGTAGCCTGGTAGCCATGGCACCTGCAACAACAAGGCTGAATCTCCATCTCATCTCGAGCGCCATAAAACCAAGCGAGGGGCAAAAAACTCCCCGCATGAAGAAAAGCAAAAGCACACACGCTGAGCCCTATAGCCTGTGGCTGGGATGAACCTTCTACAGAAGCTATGGTGCTGGTTTCCACCCTGTTCTGACTTAGACCCGGCACCCCGGCGCTTGAACTCACCAGCACAGACGCTGCACCCCCTTTCACACAGCGGGTTCTCCGATTGGACTTTGTGCTAAGCAGCAAGCCCTACGCTCTACCACCCTGCATGTGTTGGCAGGGTGCTCTGCTTCATCCTCTACCCTATTTCTTGCAGGTCCACTACTGTACTTCAGATACTTTTAACACCCCTGGAAGGCGATACGGTCTCCCCCTGTTCTTGCACATGTGGCCCGAGCAGCACGTTTGCAAGGTCTTCAGAAAATACCTACGGAGGATCCATACGCTTTCAAAACCATCATGGAATATCCAAAATATCTCTACAACCCCTCACTCCTAGAATTTAATGCGCATGTCATGCCTTTGAAAATCAAGAAAACTGCCATACAAGGTGAAGAGCCTGTTTGCAAAGTCCGCGTGAAGGCAACCACGGCCGCTTTCGTCCTTCAACATCTAGGAAAGAGCTTGGAGTTTGAGCTATCTAGGGTGTCTGATCGAAATATTCGGGCTCAAGGACATGGGCTCTCGACAGTGAAAGCAGTGCAGTAGCTGCACAAGCGAATGGTAACAAATAGAAAGTCCATCGTCCAGGACTAAGTCTTAGGGGCGTTGAGAGGGGGGAACTGCGACTGCAAATCCCCGGCGATTCATTGAAGGCTGTCGGTTTTGGAATCTGCTTCCTCCTTCAGATAATACTACCACTTGTACTGTTCCTTCATAGCATAAGAAGAAGAATGACCCATGAACGAAGACACAGGTGGATCTAGCACGAGGTCCCCGTATTGCAACTCAATCTTAAAGGAGCGGCTACCGGCACAGGAACGGTTTACCGTTAAAAGTACAAACTTAGCATTTAGGGCTAGACGTAGCCCCCACGGACCCGTAGTTTCGCCCGAGTCAACCTTTTCTTGTTCAATTGCAGCAGGGTACGGAGCATTGGGGGAGAATTACATTCCTTGGGAAGTTGGCATTGGATAGATGTACATATACATATATATATATATACTTCAGAAGAATAGGCACACGAACTCTGAAACTTGCTTAGGCTGGCCAAGCAGCACCTGAACTTGAAAACATTATCATGTTTGTGAAGCAGCAGAAGAAATTAGAAACAGGGTGACGTTTCCGGGCCGGCATCATATGAGTAACCATGTCGCATCCCCTTACCCAGATGCCATCTTTCGATTGCAAGTTAAGGACCGTGATACTGGAAGACTGTGTTTCCAGGCCAGCGTTGGCCCTCAGCAGAAATGTTGGACGATCACACTGTCACAGCCGGATGCTCACCATCTGGCTTAGTCTTTGCCAGACGATGCATCTGCTGATATGCAATGTGGAAAGAAAAAAGTCGTGGAGCATTGTCATGGACATTGTTTATCAAGCACTCCCACGGGCTGTTGAAGCCTGGTATGCCGTAGCCTTTAGCTAGTATTCGAACAATGTTTTCCTGAGTGTTTCGTGACTACATTTTGTGCCAACCGATGTCAGGAGGCTTTTTTGAGTACTCTTGGCAAGACTAAAGTGATTTCCAACGGGATGTGTGGCGCTTTTGCAACATTCCTGCTGCTGTTTCTGCATGGTCTTCGCCATTTCTCACGCAGTTTCAGCATCTCGGAAATGTGAGGCAGTTAATGCGTCTTCTTCTTCTTAGCAAGGTCTTGAACGTCTGACACACCGTGGTGCATAGGCTGCATACCATAGAGCAAGTGCAGCGTCCATGCAGTTCGGGGCCTAGGCCACGTGGCACAATACAGGTCTTAACGGATCCACCAGGATCTAGGGTGCTGATCTAAGGGTGCTGAGATCAAAAGGCGCAGCAAACCCTGACATCTGAGTATAGAGAGCGAACTGTGCACCAGTGTGAAGCGTAACCGATGTATTGGAAAAGACCGTCTTGGTCAACAGTCTTTTGGATGACGTTTGCAGTGTAGGGTTTCGGCCATGAAGGTCGTGGTTCAGGGGCTCAAGCTTCTCTGCTGGTAGGAGTTGAGATCAAGGCCCCATCACCCCGAGCCCCAAATCGTAAATCTGAATCCCAGGTCCTCTCAAATAGCTTAAATGTCAGAGAAGATGCCTGCCCGAAGTCCAGCTTTGCCAAGGATCATATCAGCTCCCAAGTCAAGACTCTTGGGAAAAGGTTTGGTTCAAGCCTCTTTCATTCAGCATCCGCCTAGTTTGTCCCAGATCACGCCACCTTTATCTTCATCTATCGCCCACAGCCCTGGAAACTGAAGACCTCTGGAATGCCTCAAATCCAAAGGCTCCAAAGACCTTACAAAAGACGGAAACTGCACAAACTAACAAAAATACAGTCCTCCAGCCCTATCCCCTGATCTGCAACTTGCATAGGCAGGAGCGGCTGGCTCGAAGCCTCCAGTGAACTGGGAAGTTCATGGGAGTGTGCATGCTTAAGCCTTTCCGTTGGTTGAGGGGCAATTCGATGTTGGGTCGGAAAACTATGTGCGAGGGCTGAGGCCTTGTGCTTTGGGGTCAGTGGCACTTGCAGGCCTGCATCAGAGTCTACATGATAAGCGCTGCTTTGGTGTACAGCATCTTGGCGTTTGATTTACGCACCTCTTGGTCGCTGGGAACGGGATTTCAGACAAACATGCTCGCCAGCCAGTACCAAAAAAGCTAAGAAACGTATGCTGGTTCATGCGCCAGTATAACAAAATACCGGTGGCGGCGTCTGTGTGCAAGACTTCGGCTTCCTGGTCTGCATGTTTCTATAGACCTTTTCCCTGACAATGGAGATGGTGCCTGACCGGAAACCCTTACGAAACCATGCAGAATCAAACAAAGAAACTGACACCTTGCCCCTACCAATATTGAAGCACCGCAGATGAGAATTAACCTGATGCGCCCGTCTTCCTTCCATAAGTGTAACATATTTGGGTCGCCACCCTGTTGGAACATGTTTGAGTCGTTCAAGTGAGGCCTAGCGTCAAACCCTAAACCCTAAACCCCAAGCCTAGACCCCTTGACACCAAGATATAAAACCCTAAAATGCTAAGCCCGAGCATCCTCAACTCTTGAACCATCAAAACCCTGAACCATCCTGAACTCTCACGCTCCTGCACCCCTAAGGATAGACAATGGCTTCCCACCTTCCAGGCTGATGTCGATGGCTTGCCATCACGGACCTCGCAAGGCAATGACTGGGTCAACAAATGCAGGGTTTCAAGTTTAGAGTTGTTCACAGATGCCGTGTGCAGGCCACCTTCTGTACTTCGGATGTAACGAAACTGGTGTGCAAGAGCAATCTCCAGATGGGTTTAGGATTTTGGGTCTCACGAACTTTGGTCCAATTTGAAATGCAACGGGTGATTGATGCTTTTAGCTTATGTTAGGGATACAAATAGCTTGTAGCAGGCTCCAAAAACCTGGGGCTTAAATCGTGGGTCGGAATGCTGAAAGTGCCCCAGTGGAGCTGTACTGCAGCACGTTTTGTTCATCTTGTATGGAATCATACAAATAAAGGAGGGTAGAGGGCTAAGGTATGCTGCCTGACACGTCCCAAAAAGACCCTAACCCTCAATCCCACACTCACACCCTAGACCGCAGATCCCACCTCCAAAGGACTAGATCCGAAGCCTCAAACACTGAATCGAAATCCCCAAAGCTGAGAACCTGCATCCCATGTCTCAAAGCCCCAAACAAATCAAGGATCTGAATCCTCAAGTCTTGAGCTACCGCACGCATGAAGGTCCAACTTAAAAGATATGACACGACGGTCTGGGGTTTGGGGTTGGGTTTGGATCTCAGCTTTGCCATTGGGCGCATGGGGTTTAGGACGGTGGTTTGGGAATGAGGGTTGAGGCTGACAGTCCCCGGTCCCGACCCCAGATAATGAGGAAACCCCGCGCTGTCAGCCTCAAGGTATGCTCTCATCCTGTAGTGCTAATCAACCACAACATCCTGGACGCCAGACATGTCAAACAACTTCTGAACCTGGCCCCTCCAAGCTCCTTGGAACCTTGCATGCAGCAGATGTTTGCGGGAGTGGGGATAGCACAACAAACAAGTATGGATCCATCATCGCACAATCTTCAAATCAATGAAAACCCAAACCATAAACCCTAAACTCTCAAGCCCTCAAACCGAGAAACCCTGTCCGAACAAGAGATCTTCCAAATCCCTAAACAACTCAACCCGAAACCCAAAGCTCTGGACCTAACGTCTCAAACCTCAAGGCCAGCCTGACGCCAAATCCGAAGCTCACCCTTGGGGGGATCCAGCCTATGCAAGTGAATCCGAGGATTCGCCAGAAGGTTGTATAAATTATATATGGGTTCATGGCTGATAGGGCTTAGGCTTACTCCCACGATCAGATCTCTTAGCGGAGGCCAGGTGTTGCCGGGATCCAGACAGGACAAACAGGCAGGTAATAGGGGGATTGGCCAAATCGGAAAAGAAAGGCGCAGGCGCTAGCAAAGTCGAAGTTTTTGGATGCTCCGGCCAATTCCGCCATACAAGTTGCAGAATACGCGCAAACATACCGTTGAGGTTTTCGTGAACCTCTTTTCAGACTGAGCACCACTCTGCTTGCGTACTCACTGAATCTTTGGCAGGGAGGCTATCACCACAAACGTGCATGATTCTATGTCTTCCGCACTTGAACCTTCAATCATCGTTGAGCTAGGAAGCCGCTAAGTTCGACCCGAATTCCTGCAGCATCAAAACGATGCCTAAAACCCAATCCCTTCTTGCCTGCAACGCTCGAAGTAGTGGACGAACATGCGTAACTTTGCAACTTCCTGCAACAGACTAGTTGACTAGGAGTGCACCCGTTTTCCAGAAAGGTCTTAGGGGTTGTTTGTTGCCCATAACTTCTGCAACTTCGTGGACTTCGAGAACTGAGGCTGCTGAGCTTAAATATCTCGAACGCACCATGCCATGACTTGCTTCGCTTGTCTGCTGTGCTGGGGACTGAGGTCTGCTACATCTCGTTGGCGCCGCCTGAGTTTCGGATTTGGAGCTGACACGCAGCGCATGTATAACTCCTCAAGCACTTGCAACCAGATATTTCTGCGAATACATGTAGAACAACCTTAAAAGACGTATAACTGCCCCCACATACCTTTGGCAAAAACAAAAGACCGCTGGCCTGTCGGAAAGGCTGTCGCGGGAACAGGAGGTTCAAGAAGCTGCATGAGGGCATGTCCCGGTCCCCATCCGGTATGAGGCAGAGGAACATCTGCCTCATACAGGCATGAAGAAGCTGAGAAGCTGGGGTTCAAGACTGGAGATGGTTCTTAGGCTACAGCGGCACCAAGTAGCGTCAGCAAACTTGGTTGGGGGCCGTCAACGTGTGAGCTTTCCCAGAAACACACAAAAGCAAACATCACACCCCATAGGAAAACAGCAATCTTCGTAAAACATCTTTCTGGGCTCCATGTTTGTTGAAGCCTTTCCATGTCACTGGAAGGTGCAACATATCCGCAATTGTTCAGTGGAGTCTGAGTTCCTCAGGGCCAGACCTAGGTATGTGTAGACAAGCTAGACGCTGATCTCTAACTCTTACTTCTAGGAGCTCCAGCCTGAACCGTTCCAAACTCTCATCACTTGCAGAGGCCCTCCCCTTGCCACCCGACGTAATCCAGCAGCCAAGCTGCGCCATGATACTCAGCACCAGGCCACGGGGCATTGCCAGGTAGTCCTAGACATGGGGGCCAAGGTACCCCAGGTCAGGGACTTTGGGGGATGATGAGGATGAGGGTCCCTGAAAGGATTGCATTGATGACACTTCCCTTTAAGGGCCTTCACAAGACAATACGATTTGGGTTTACATATTCCACTGGATTCTTGGGGTGATTGGAGGGAATAAACGGTAGTGATCGCTTGAGAGATTTGGCAATCGGGGTCCAGGAATGGAGCAGGTAATGCAAGGTTGCAAAATGAAAAACAGTCCCAGGAATTGGAGTCAATGTGTAAAAACATCAACTTGTATCGCTTGAGTGCGTTTTGGAATATGGCTCCTTAGCCAGTTTTCAAGAATACAGAAATTCAGAGATGTGGGAGCTTATCTTCGTCACGATGTCAAACTTTGCAAAGAAAATCGAAAGGAGTAGCAGAAGGAAAATGGCTTCACATGGCTGAGGCTTCTGGCCCTTGCTCCTGAGCTCGACTTTGCTTTTGATGTGTTCACTGATAATCGTGCCTAGGGTCGAAAGGTTCTACCTGTTGGGGTTTAAGTGTTCAGGCTTTGGGTCAGTGTTTAGGTTTACTTGGGGCTTGCACATTAAGATTTACAGATTCACACTTCAAGTCTGCGGCCAAGGATAAGAACCAAAACCTGAGAAGCCTGAGATATAAGGTGTACAAGGAACCCAGAAAGGGCTTGCAGGGGTTTCCAGCAGTATGCAGTATGGCGAGAGCCCGCACTGATTCAGGAACCCAGCAAACAGAAACTGAGGGACCCCGATCCCCAGTTTGTTTCGGGCTTTTTGCTGTCCCAGTACAAGCACACCGCGTAGTGACAAAACAGGTCGAGTAGCAAGAACATGAGGATTATTGGTGCCAGGTTGGCAGTAGCATTGACATACCCGAAAACGCTGAAGGGATTGGTTGCGTGGCATGCATTAATACCGCGAACGCTGAAGATGTTCCTTACACGACTTCAACACATGCTACACCTTGTTGTTCTAAACCTGAAGCCTTTTAGAATGACTGGAATGCGTAGAGCCCAAACCCTTCGCCCTAAACCAATACTGTAGCCTTGTTGTACAAGCCCAGTAAGCTGCATGTGTGTATCACATATACAAGTAAGATATGGACATACATTTTCTGACTAGGGGCATTCTGAGCTCTACTTGAAGACTCAGGCTGAGGCCGCACTTCCCTGCACCAGTTTCTTGAGCTCCGGCTTGTCTGTAAAATGATCCGGAAGCTCACCTCTCTGAAATCATGACCGTGGGTTTCGTGCAGTTCGGGGCTCAGGGGTTCAGAACGCCAGACTCTTCAGGTGTTGAGTGTCAAGCTTTCAGGCTATAAAGATGCCTCTCATAAGCCAATTCTATATCGAAGGCCTTGGAGCTTTAAGGTAGTTGAGTTTCTTGCAGCGGCTTCATGGGTATGTGAGGGCACCTTGTTCATGTCCTGACGGTAAGGTCCAGGTGTCTGGAGTACGGTGTTGGACTTTCTTCTTGGGAAGCTAGATGAGGCTTAGGGTCAGACATGTTGGAACACAGGGATCGGGAGAAAGGATGTCAGGTGTTTGGGTGTTCTCTGGCGTTACGATACCATCACATTCGGCATAGACCTTGCAGGACACAAAGCCCTTGCATGAAAACGAGAAAACGACTTAGCTACTCGTTGTGTTGCGTGCTGCAGAATGCGAATCCAATTACAGCCTAAACCCCATTGTGATTCCTGTGCAACCAATGCAGATTGCCCGTGATGTAGGAACCTGCTTTCTCGAGGATAAAGGGCAGCGTGTGCGGAAAAAAGTTCCTGCGGGGCCACACTTTTGAGTAAAATGTGGTGAGATCTGATGGGAAATGCTTCCAAGGTGTTTGGTTTACGTAAGCCTGAACCCTAAACAGCTAAGTAACCCTAAGGCGAAACCTTCAAACATCATTTTGGGCCATACATACATAAACCCTCAAACCCCTCAACTCCACACTCCTAAAAGTTGAGGGCTGGCCAGAGGAAGGAGGTTCACAGTGAACTTCTGAAGTTCGTGACAACAGTCATGGCAAAAACATTTAGGTGGGGACCAGAACAGCACAAGGAGGTACTTGAAGTTCAGGGGTGATTTCATGCGGGCTTAGAGATACCGCATGGACAGGTATAATGAAATGTAGGAAAATTACAGGCAAATGTAAGCAAGACAATTCCACACCAAGAGCTTGTAGCTATAGTTGTTCAATTTCTGCAGACTGTAACACAACTTACATCCACAAATGACCTGTCAGGTGCTGGTTCCTCGGGGCAGCTACAAAGCTAGGTCTCTTGTTTGCACAAGTCATCCCAAAGTTTGGTCTTTGACCAACTAACATCAACATTGTGATACGGCACCTGATGAGAAGAGCTGTTCCCAGACTTTCCCCAGCAACCATTTTCTGATCGACCAAGGCTCTGAAATAATTACCTTTGGAATGCATATGTGGGTTTGTCATTGAAGTTGGAGGAAAGCTCGCCTTTGCCCTATCGCCCTGGACCCCCGCCGGATAGCAGTCTACAGCCTGACAGCACAGAAGAAGAAAAACTGCAATGTATAACACCATTTTCAACCACCCCAAAATCCCGCTAAATATCTAGGTCCCTTATCTGATGAACATGGAGCTTCTCAGAATCATCACTGCAGAATCCCAAAGATGGCCCCTGACAATGCCTGTATCTATCTGCAGTGCTCCAAGGGCATCTACTGCTTGAGAAAACCCCCAGATCCTAAGCCCCCAACCTTCTACCTAACGACATATCCCACTAACCCCTTTTAAGCGACCCCTTGTCAGAAGCCGCGCAAAAAAGGCATGAAGGTCCCCATCCTAAGCTCCTCATCCTCTTGGTAGATCTGAGATGTTGAGATCAGGTGGCAGTACTATCTATAGAGGCCTAAATAAATCGTATAGACTATACCGGAAGTATACAAAGAATCTGTATCATTATTCAGGTCTCTACATCACGGCTCAGGTTTCATGATGCCGGCTCCACAGCAGAGTTTGGTTCGCGTAAATGCCGAAGGTTGAGATTCCGGCTGTAGCGTCTAGGGTTCAGGGTTTGGGGTTCATGGTTTGGGGTTGGACTTTAGATTAACAAATTGAGGTCTGGGGTTGAGGATCTAGGCAGGGAGTTTTGAGGATCAAAAGACACCCACTTGAACAGGAATACAAACGGCATTGAATCTTCCAGTGGGTGTGGGCCAAAGATCTCAAGTTGAGCGCCTTGGCCTATAGGTAAACGAATCCAAAAGTTTCGAACCAGAGTTGACTTGACGCTGAAGAATTGGATTTTGACGCCTCATTGTCCTGCTTGGCAGTGCAGATATGTAGGACAGACCTGGGAAGATCTCAGCACCTTTGAAGGGTACAACATCCCAAGCCCACTATTCCCAAATGAGCACGAACTAATACCCTGCCAACCCGATGAACACGCTAAAATCTCTAGTTCCGAACGCATTTCCCTCACGCCTTAGAAAAGCCCCCGAAACGCAAACAAACATGACTGCAACATCCTTGCCTACTTTTCAGCGACACCCGAAATCAGCTAAGTGAGCAAAGGGACGGTGAACATTGCATCCAGGCCCACTGCAGGGGGAGCTCCAAAGGCCTCCACAAGGAGTTGAGGATTGTTGGGGCTCGCGGTTGAAGATTTGGGGTTGAAGGTTTGGGGTATGGGGCGTTTGGGGCTTGAGGTTCCGGGATTGAATCTCGAGTTACGGCAAAGAGGGCGAAGAGTAATTCACAGGGACCTCATGAGGGTTGTATAGCGGCTTCAGCGGGATGATGTGGACTGCGGACTGTAAAGACCATATTGAACTGAAATACGACAAAACTTGTTGGCCATTACATACACGGTTTAGTCTTTGGGTGATCATAGTAAGTTCAACCAAAATATCAACCTGAAATCTGCAACCTCAGGGCCCACTTGACTTACCCATGAAACCCAGTCAAACCAACCTTTACCAAAAACTGCAGTCTTCGTGGGCCTCTTTAGGCTTCCATGTACGTTTGAAGGCGGGTATGGAAATATCTCTGGGAGTAGACAAGGGGTGTGACCCAGACCGCCATTTTCAAGGCCCTGAAAACCAGAAGATCAGTTCCTCATGTATCAGGCCACCTCCACAACACTCGACAGACAACATCTCCTGTTGATCATAAGTTGTGGGATTAGGACTACAACCCACCCTCAAGCCAGCAAACCAGGCCTTAGCAAAGCCATGGCTATCCCGGACTCCCCGCAGGGTGTCCTCTGTCTGCAGTTGAAGCTGAAGACCCAGGATTTGAAGGCTGTTTTGTAAGGTTTGGGCTCTAAGGTTCAACTTATGAATGTCCCATCTCAAAACCCTCACCCAAACTTGATCTTAATCTACAACCTGTCGCAACCAAGGTGGAGCTGATTTTCGAACGTCACTAGCTGAGATGTAGTGAATGCTGCTGGGACGAACGTTACAGGCCCTTGCTGAGTACTGGGTTTGACCCGCATCAACACCAGTGCTAAGTTAGGCAATTTTGCATGTCACTATCCGATGAAAATGCGGCAAGGCAGGCTTGCACAAGCGTGCGCACCAAAGACTCCGGTAGAGATTCTTGAGGTGGACTCGCCTTGTTAATGCCAATGTGGATTTCTTTTCGCTTGCGAGGGCGACAAGACGCAAAAACTCAAGACCGCACTCCAACCCAGGGCCCAGTACGAACCACTCTTCTGCGGGGTTCTATGTGAATCTCTGCATGCCCGGCGTCCTTCAAAGCCGTGGCAGCCCGCGATGACGTTGCGACGTTGATGGTTGGGGCGGACGCACCAGCGCAAAGGTCCATGGCTTTGAAGCTACACGGCCACAAGAAATACCCAGCAAAGAAGCGCGAGGCCTGAAACGGAGCACCTCGTGGACTACCCTTGTACAGAATGTAACATGATATTGGCATCTAGGCGTCTTGATGTGAACAGGATGAGCAGGTACCTTTCTTGCCCCTGTTTATTGGTCTCCGGATCTTCTAACCCTGCTGAACCAAAGACCAAACTTCCAGCAATGTCTGCTGTAAGATCTGCGTAGCCAAGCACAAGTCTAGCCCAGAATTGCTGAGATAAGCCTGTACTTCTCCAAGTAGGTCTCAACTTGATTTTCGCTTGACACAGAGACATCCGGCGAGTTGAAGGGCTCTGCTAGCTATCCAAGGGCTGAACAAAAAACTCTCAACCTTGAATGCATTGCAGCACCTTTCGAGAAAAAAAACAGACACACACAGCAGCTCCACAACATCGGCGAAAAATTCAGAAAACAAAGATTGGATGTACATATCGCCGTCTTTCCATGACTGCGCTTTGGCCAGCAGTGTATCAAACAACAGCGTAGTCACAGATAATGCGGAGCATTCAACCCGGAAACCCTTATCCTCACTCAGAAACCGGTTTAAAGATTCGCAGGAAACCACTAGGTTGATTAGAACTAGGAGTAACCAGTCTAATTTACGGGACTCATGATCCCACTTGCAAGTACCCCTGAACCTTCAACTAGAGGGATCTCACGTGGGGAAGTTCCATTGTCTGCCGATGCAGCACGGGTACCACTGGACTGTGAATACAGAACCTTAACACCAAAAACCCGAACTCTGAATGGACTCCACACTTTGAACGAAGAATCCCGAATCGGATTTTGCCACACTTAAACCTCCTAATGCATCTCGACAAGCACATTAGGAGCCTTTACTCTACAGCGCGCCCCCACAAGCCCAGGCTGTAGCATTTGCATATGAGGTTTCCAGTGCAGTCTGTAAGGTTCAAGGTCGAGGACCTATCGTGATTTGCAGATCCCTATAGACCACCAAGAAACTCCCTCTAACCTGCAGAAAAGGACCCCTAGTCTTGAAAAATCTTAGTTGAAGGGCACGAGCGGAGACAAGGGCAGTATGTGTACGTTGATAGGCTGTAGCTGGTCACGAGCATAGTTTCACTATTTAACAGCGCAGCCCCTAAACACGGAACCCGGAATCTTACACATCAAAAGACTATAGTTTGAGGCAGGGCCTGACAACAGTGAGCTCGAACTGCTACAGCCCGAACCTCTCAGCCAACTTTCTAAGGTTCAAGTCTACGGTTCAGGGCTTACCTAGTCCTTCCAGACACCCAAGGTTGTGTACGGGTGTTGGGCATAAACTTTCAGATTTGGGATTTCGAAGACTTCAGGATTGATCCAGGAGTTAGGGCTCAGGGCGCAAAGAAGGTCCGAATCCCGCAGAAAAAATGTGCCTGTAGCCAAACGAGAATTCCCACGAATTTTAGCAGAAACGTCAGGAAATCGTAAGTTCTGTTCTAAGAATCGGAATGAGCCCCATATCATTTTTGTGGTATACTGGAGTTCCTCAAGATAAATGCCATCTGTCGATCATCTAGCTGCCTGAGGGCCGGAAGTATGACAGCGCCCAAGAGAGGCACTCGAATTGTAAACAGATGGACAGCCAGCATGTCAACATTTCATCCGAAGGCTTTGAGAAACTTCAGCGCTCTGGAGTATTTGAATTACTATCGCGCGCCCGGCTATCTGTCAAGGTGCTCTGTCCGGATGTTGCATGTAAGCTTCGGTGATAAATCTTGCACTGCCAGCTCGTTGCCATCCGAGCTTACATACTACCAGCGTGATATCCAAGTTTGCCAGAATAAATAGAGGTTGCCTTAGGATATCCAGGGCTTTCTCCCTAAAGTTCCTGCATTGGATATATCGCGACACTGGTTTTGTGGGAAGTCTGACGAAGCCTAGGTTGAGGCTTTGCATCTTGGCCTTGCACAAAAGTCTT